CAGATGTCGCTGTAATCGAAACAAAACTTCCATATTTTTGTCACCCTGTATATATGTATATACATGTGACATAATACATATTTGATATAAATTTTATATAAAAATTGTTAAACGTATTTTTCCTGTGAGATTATATTACGTGTTGAATTATTTGTAGTATATTATTTAATTATTTGATTTATATGTATTTTTATTACTATGAAGTAAATGTACGAGATAATTATATTCATTATTAATACTACATCGAGTGATAATTATATCGTACATTAACCGCCGTGATAAAAAGTCTCAAATATTAATTTAATTTCTCATTTTAATACTTTATATTAATAAAGTCGATATGCAATTATTCCATTTCATTTACAAAATTTCTTTTAATTTATATAATATAACCTATTTTTATTATATTAATCTGTGCTATAATATATATATCACATTTTGTCTCTTATTTATTTAAAATCTAACTAAATATTCTTGTCTTTTGTTTTAAATGTTTCAATACTTATTATCATTATATAGACTTATTGTAAAATATTATATTTTAATATTTATGTGAACGTTTACAATAATAATAACGCAAAAACACAATACATCACAAATTTAGTAACAATTAAATTAATTCTACGTGTTAAACATAAAATATAAGTTTTTTAATAATAGAAACAATCTAAAGTATATTTGAATTTGCCACGTTTTTAATCGATGGGGCGGAGCTAGAGATTCTAAAGTAGAGATCAGGGGCTCTATTCTTGAAAAGAAACGTATACAAAAGTCTAGGGAAATACTATAGTATACGTAACGTATACTGTAGCATTTCCCTAGATTTTCGTATACGTTTCTTTTCAAGAATAGAGCCCCAGGGTACCTATCATAGAACAAGTCGGAATCGATTTCGATCGGAAATATTCAATTATTCCCTAGATTTCTATTGTGTTTTCTAGGGAAAATGGAATAATTCCGATCGGAATCCATTCTGACATATTTCATGATAGGTACCCAGTCAATGCCGACTCGATCCGTGATTGGCTGTGTCATGTTGATGTGAAACCGGATGTGAGAGTGAAAAAAGCGGATATGAGAGTAAGAGAATAGAATACCTATAATAAGAGTACAGCCAATAGTGCATATAAAAGTACAGCCAATGAGGCAAAACCGGAAATGCATCGAAATATGCGCGCATTTTCAAATGTGAAATGTAAAACTGAAATTGTACATATAACAATGGGTGCGTTCAACAGAACGTAACCGTTTATGAATGTAATGCTGCTGAGATAAAATCATTCCTCTAGATCTAAAATATAATTCAATCAGCACGAAGAAAACTTCCAACAATTGCAAAATAAATAATAATGTAATCTTCTTGGAGTTTTTTATTGCAAAATAAATGTTCTGCTGAACGCAGAGGGAGAGAGCCAATAATTTTATAATGAATAAATTAAAGAAGCATGACATCAGAAGTAAAATATAAATAGAATGAAAGCGAAATTTATTTAGTAATAAACAGTATAAAAATGAACAGGATTGAGAACGTATTATACCATGTGTATCATACAAAGGTATTCTACGTATGATACTGAAATATGATGCCACTCCACTTTCATACGTTTATGTATTATACATCACATAACCTCATTTTTTAATCCGATATTATTTAGATGTTTGAACTGGTAAAACAAATTTACGTTTTATTGCGATAACAATTTGAAATACGACAATATGTAATTGTATTGAAAATTAATTAGAAAATTATGGCACAATCAGATTATATGTACCTTCAAATTAAATTCACACGATAAGATAAAAAATTACAACGAATTATTAATATTATTGTATACCAAATTCATGTGTATATACTGCACTTGCATTTTCAGTATTATTTTCTTTCCATTTTTTATTTGCAAACTACATTTTCAATAAAACTGGAAAATTTTTGGAGTTATTCCCAATCAGCAATATACTTCAAAACTTCAAAAACCTAACCATTGTTTTTTAGTCAATAAGATTAATAAATTAGCGGTTAGGGTTATGTTAAAGGTATCGTACAAGTTTAATGTGTATTCTATATATGATACATGTTCATACGTATTATACGTATCAAACCCAACCCTGAAAATGAAAGAGCTTAAAAATAGGATTTTAGGAGTATTAATTACCTTTTTAAAAGTATATTTAATTTTTTATTAGGTATATATAAGTCTTTTTTATTATAGTATATATTAAATTTGTCAATTTACATCCAAAACGTTACTAGTGACGATAGAATTGCATAATAATACAAAGTAATAAATCAATATACAGTTAGGGTACATATCCACTGAGCGCGTCACGCGTCGCGCTCAGTGGCTACGTACCATAAGACGCTAATGCGGCCCTCTGATTGGTTCGTGACACCTCAAGACAGAACTTAAGGAGGTTGTAAGGCTAATGCGGGCAGTGAGAGGGGAATGCTTTAATACAAAAGAAATATGGAGTGTAGCCAACATTTGAACATTAAAATTTGAAGAAATAAATAGCTAAAATTTATAGAAATATGGATTATAATGCAATAAAAATGCAAAAAATATTAGTGTTTATTTGTGTAAAAGTTTTAAAGTTAAACATATATTTTTTAGAACAATAAATATTTTTAACTCAAGAAATGATTTGGCAACGGTATAAAACTGAAAAATCGAAGTTGGTAACACTGCAAACTGCAATGTCTGACTGCAATGTTGACGGGCAGATAAGGTTAAAGCGGGGAGCACAGACTCTTGCATAACGCATAACACGTAATGCATAAGAATATGTACCAATCGAAGTTCTCCGTTTCTTTCCCTTCCATGTAATAGAGAACTTTGGTTGGTTCAATTTCTTATGCCTCATGTGTCATGCGTTAAGCAAGAATCTGTGCTCCCCGCTTAAAGCGGGGAGCACAGATTCTTGCTTAACGCATGACACATGAGGCATAAGAAATTGAACCAACCAGAGTTCTCTATTACATGGAAGGAAAAGAAACGGAGAACTTCGATTGGTACATATTCTTATCCATTACGTGTTATGCGTTATGCAAGAGTCTGTGCTCCCCGCTTAAAGCGGGGAGCACAGACTCTTGCATAACGCATAATGCATAGTGCATAAGCGAATCAACTAATCAGAATCTTTTCTTTCCTCCCATTCCATGGAAAAGAAGAATTTTGATTGGTTGATTCCTTTATGCACTATGTATTATGCGTTAGCCCGGATCCTCATACGGGCAACAGCGCTTTGACACCGAACGCTTATTGGTGAAAAACGCGCGATGGGGGTAAATTTTACCCCCACAACCGACTTTTCACCAATCAGTGCTCTATGTCAAAGCGCCAGTGCCTGTATGAGGATCCGGGCTTATGCAAGAGTGTGTGCTGCGCCCTTTAATGTGATGCTATGAACGTTTTGAAGCGTTCTTTGACAAATCATTTAGTACAATTTTTTTCTGTAATTAATAAATTAAATGCTTAGAAGCATTTGTAGTGAGATTTTGACGACACTACTCAACTGATAGAATATTCTTGATTCGCGATGATGAAACAACGTTGCCACATTTTCTCCATCAAACAGCTTCAATGGCAGAAGTATTATATCTTTGGTTATATTTTTTACTATTGTTAATAAATTGAGTGGGAAAAGTTGTTTTAATCTTTAAATATATTTCTAATATGCTATGCTTTATATATTAAACATAAATTTATTCGATTCTTAACATTTCAAATATTAATATTTGTTGAAAATAGATAGATAGAAACGAGTGGCACCCAGTTGGACACGGTTCAATTGGACACGAGCCACTCACAGCGCTTGAGACTACAAAGCTCCTAAGTACCAGTCGCTGTGATTGGTGGTGTCCGATCGAGACGTGGTTAATCGGGATCACCCCGATAGAATCGAGTCTCCTATAAGAGAATGAGAGATAGTCTACTATAAAATCCAGCATTTTGTTATTAATTTACAGAAAAATGCGCTGGTAAAGAATCTGAAAAAATTTACATAAAAGCATGCTTTTTAGATAAAGCTATGTTCCAAATTTCAAGCAATTCTTGATATATTGCATTCTCCCTACAACCTCCTTAAGACGGTCTTGAAATATATCCACTGAAATATAACATCTACTGGAACGCGCGCTGGCGCTAGTTTCGCGATTCGACAAAGAGGATCTCAAGTGGTATCCTTGTCCTTTTTTAGTACAATATTGTCAAAAGTTTAATTCTTACAGATTAGGTTATGCGCTGAATCGGCTCTCGTGAGTGAAAAGTGTCATATTAATAGCGTTTTTCATCGGCGTTTTTCAATGGCGTTTTTCAATAATAATTGAGATCCAACATATACTTTTGACATTTGGCATGCTACGTATATTGTTAATTTGAACTTTTTCCGAGACTACGAGCCCCACTACTGTTTACTGCACATGCGCAGTATAACTTCGAAAAAGATAAAGATACCACTTGAAATACTCTCTCTCGTATCATTGCTAACAAAGATGGCGAGGGTCCACGCGTGTTCCAGTAGATATTGGGTGCTTTCCAGCAAGGGACACAGTCAGACACAGTGTGACACAGTGAATCATACGTCCTTGTTGTTTGCTTACGTTAAACAAGGATAAAACGATTCACTGTGTTACACTATGTTTGATTGTGTCCTTGCTGGAAAGCACCCATTATCATGGAGTATAGAGACCAGAAGATCGAACTGACATAGACGAGGGCCTCAAAAAGCGTGTTCAAAAGTGGTCATCTGAATTAGTTCAATCGAGATGCCGCTTTCGTTCCACTACACCGTTCTCTAGAGATGGGCATAGCGGAACATTATACTGTTTCAAAACATTAGGAACAATAGTCACTCTAAGGGCCTGAGCACAATAGAGGAACAGGAATTAGATATTAATAGTGTTTTCGATCGGGGTGCACTGGTTGCACTCAGTGTCAAGAGCGTGTTCGATTGGCAGTGCCAATGGGCACTTGGCTAGTGTCACGTGTTCATTTGATCGCACGACACTCGCGTAGTGCGCACTCAGTGCGCACTAAGGGTGAAGTCCCATGAAGCGTATTTGCCGCGTATCGCGTAACCAATCAATAATCAGTAAAACGCGAAACCACAACAGCGAATCGCTTCTGATTGGTTACGCGGTTACGCGATACGCGGTAAATACACCTCATGGGACTCCAGCCTAAGTGGCACGAGATATTTTGACGGTGCCAGTTCAGTGCACGTTTTATCACAGTTAAGGATATACATAGGGACAAGCAAATCTGCGCAGTTGAATTGAAAATGGGGTCTTGTCACTACTCTTAATATCTTTTACTGTAGTTTTGTAACATTTTGTTGAACATTGCTTCAAAGTGAACAAAAATGAGTTTCAGCTTTAACACTGAAAATCTTGGCGTATTCTTTTGAACTTGCACTATTCAGTGCAACCCATGGAACTCGTCCAGTGTTGGTGTGAACTGA